CCATTCTTATATCAGACTGTCCTGTTTTTAAACCCTTTGTCTCCTATGCATTTCTGAATGAGGAACAGATTGCAAAAACTCCTGCTTTTTCAGTTCATCGGTGGAGATACATGTCAAGCATTTGTCCTTGTGATTCTATTGGTTGTGCCTAGAAGTAGGGCAGTGCACAGCTAGGAGGAGTAGGTTTTGGAACTAGCCAGGGATAGAGGGAGGTGAAGGATCCCAGTGGCCCTACCCCTTGCTGCTGATTGGCTGAGGCAGTTGTCCTGCCACTTACCACTGATTGGCCAAAGGGGCCAGTGGTCCCACCCCTCACCAAGGGGATGTCTTATATTCTGGGGATGTGTCAGTGGCAACCCTACCTCCAGCATCCCAGGGTGCTTTGCTTCCCCCCCCCCCCCGGGGGCATTTCTTCCCCCCCCCCCCAGGGGACAGTGTGTCACTTGGTACACTCTGCTGCTGCAGCCAAGCAGGTTGCAAAACACGCCCCCTTTGCAATCCAACATTGTGTTGCTGGGAAACAGACTCACTTTGAGCAGGCTAGGTTAGCCAATCAGGGATGCCCCATGTACTGCTACTGTTTTGTCTCCTGGCAGACTAAGGAAGCCTTCAGAGCATGCTGAGATGTGTACACAGGATCCCCCTGGCTGTGCAGCATCAACACTGCAAACTCTCTACTGTTCAAGGGTTCAGGGTTTGAATATCTGTTCAGGTGTCTCCAGCTAAGTCTTTCTACCAGGGGAATTCTCCCAGATTACTTGAATGTGTGTATGCAACCTTTGTAAGCTGACTTCTGGTACAGCATGGTAAGTAAAGAGGTTGTAATTTTTACTACTAGAACAGATCCCTGCTTAGGCTAGGAAAAAGTCAATTGGGAGGACTTCGGGTAAAAGACAGAGGGACTGGTTCTTGAATTTACTACTTCAGGGTGCTTCTATGTTGTGATTTTTTTTTTTAATCTCCACTTTTCATGTATTTTGAATGTCTTTTTTGTGTTGTCTTCTATGCAGCAAGTGTAGCTTCCTGGTGGAAATAGTTTCACCACAGTATGTTTTCAGTATTTGGTCCATACTTTTTTGAATTGCATATTCTGTTTAGTTACTGGATAAAAGATTGAACCCATAAGGAATAAAAGGAAGGCTGAGCTGAGATGGAACCAAAGCCTAGAAAGAAAACTTGGTAGGAAAGAAATGAGGGAAAGCCAGATGCCACTCCTGAGACTGTCACCAGGAGCTAGGAACCAGTAAACTGATGTTAGCAGAACATGGCTGCAGGGCACTATGCTTAGATCAGTGGTTCCCAACCCTTTTTTGCTAGGACCCGCTGCTGAGAATGGAGTGTAGCAGTGGTGGCGCAGGGGCAGGGGCGGGGGAGCTCCTGGCATGTGGCATGGCTTGTCCTTTCTTTATGGCACCCCTGGCATTGCCCCCGCGACCCTCATTTGGGTTGCAACCCAAGGTTCGGAACTGCTGGCTTAAATAAATGCCCAATCTTCTGTTCTTACCAAGGCCAGTCAAGGATTGGATCCATCAATGCTGCAAACTGTACCTGCATGTGTTGCTCCCCAGGGAGGAGCAGGGGAGGCATAAATGAATAGGTGTGTTTTCCCTATTCTTTTTATTTTTACTGTATTATTAAAACCATATTATTTTCTCCTATTCAGTCCAAAATATCATGCAGGCATTCAGGTCAGGGCAATACCACAAACTCAAGAGACTCTTAATTTCCTGAGCCACTCCTGACTGCAGGACAGGGGCACATGTTGACCATGGCAACTGTGTGGTAACTGTTTGGGCTCATGAGTTATCCAGCTTAGAGTTATAATATAACCCAGGCTTCAGTGAACAGTAGGGGAGGTCACAGGTTCTCAGCTGGTGCTCAGGGCTGACAAGTATCATCTGGGGCAAGGCAAAGCTTCTGCTGAGACCCCACAGTGTTAGTCTTACTGTGCAGCTGCAATCTTAGCAGCTGTGAGAATAACAACCTTCTGCTGGACCATAACAGGTTGGATGTAGTTCAATGAGGTAGTCTCTTACTTCCACAGTTACTAAGAGTACTAGTGAGCAAGCACAGAACAGAATTTCAGAAAGGTATATTGGTGTACGGCTTGTGTCCCAGACATAGTCTTGTGTAGACAACATGCTGCTTGCACTATCATGGGTCTGGTTAACTAGAGAAACAAAGATGAGTGAATAGTCCCAAAGGGGCAAGCTGTGTGCAGAGCATAGGGTGACCACCCATCTCTAGTTGGGCAAGACAGCCCCTAAATTTAAACATCAAGTCCTGGTCCCAGAAACATTCAGCCTGAGACAGCATTTGTCCTGGATTCCCAGTACCATGTTCAGGGATCGGGGTTTTCTGTTTGCTGTGAGAAAACTGCAGAAACTGGCAGAGTGTCAGCCTGCAAGGGGCTGCTTGGGACTGGGGGAGTGGGATGCAGGGGGTGCCACATGCATGTGTGCATGCACACACATGAACATGGCTAGCAATACAGCCCAGGCAGCGGCAGAGAGCAGCTCCCCCAGCTACCTGCAAATAAGTCTATTGTGGGGGGTGGCATTGGCAATGCAGGGGGGATGGGAGGGTAGTTTGAGGTGTAGGATTGGCAGCTGGGGTCACTGCCCAGCTGGGGTGGTGCATTGGGCCTGGGGCTGGGGTGGGAATGCACAGCCGCGAGGCCCAGCCAGGGGTCAGGATGGAGCTATAGGCAGCTTGTCTAGGGGGCGGTGAGGGGCATGTGTCCTGCTTTTGCATTGTGTAAAGGTGGTCACGCTAGCAGAAGGGTAGCAGGGCAGGTCTATGCCCAGCCGAGCTGCTGATGCCCAGAACACCGTCAGCCTGTGCTGTGTGGTTTGTGGTAGTACAATCAGCTGCCACAGTGACAGTGGCTACTTTTGTGCCCCACAACACCTGGGGCACTGCTCTGCCCTTTGCCCTGTCTGTGTAGGAGCATCTAGTAGACCCCAAGTCCATGTAAGCAGAGAAGCAGGCACTTGGCAAAGGTGTGATGGGACTAGGGAATAAGGGGACAATAACAAAATGCTAGGATGGGGGGACTCAACATGGGAAGGAAATGTTCAACCTCAAATTTTTGCTTTGTGAGCCTGTTCAGAGGTGTTTGGGATTGGGTGTGTGAGGGAAAGGCGTTTTGGACCACTGAGGTAGGGCTTGTGTGGGAGAGCAATCTGCCACTCATCCTAGGACCTCTCCTCCTTCTGCTGATATTGGAGTCCTTTTCTTATCCCAGGAGAAGGAGCTTACTTAGCAGGCCTCGTCACAGTTTCACGTAGCAGTGGACCCATCCCTGCTCGGTGGTGAATGTCATGCTAAATGACAATCCTGACTCGTATTTTTGTGGAATGACAGAGCAGGAACCAGTTGTAGGGTGGATCTGAAGCTCATCCATCACCATGCTACAAGCACCTGCGATAGGCTGGGCCCCAAGTTAGAGGCCAAATGGCCAGTGCTGTACCTAGACTTCTGGTGGCCCTGGGCGAACTTTTAGTATTGGGCCCCACTTTGCCAGAGAGAGTGCTTTTTTATTTATTTATTTATTTTTTTGCATTTTGTTTAATTGTCGGGCCTCCTTTCTGTCTGGGCCTTGGGTGGCCACCTGGTTCATCCATGCCTGTGTCCGGCCCCGCAAGTGGCACGGAGAGTTTGTATCAAGGTGAAGGAAGTGCCACTTTCCCCAGGATCACCGTGTTGCCATGATTAAAACCTCACAGCTGTCCTGATGGACAAAATTCAATTGTATCTGAGGACTGGGCTGAACAGTAAGCTACAAAGAGATGGGCATGCAACAGCAAGAAATAAAAGGAGGCATGAGTGAGGGAGCTGAACAGGAGCTGCTCCTTTAAGGAGTGGGGAGGGTAATGCTAGTGGAGGCAGTCTGAGCCCTGCATCCCTGCTGATGTCACTGTGTTAGTGCAAAGAGAAACCAGGAAATGGAGGAACCATTTTCCCTGCATGAGCAGGGGGACCAGCTGCATTAATCCAACACAAGTGGCGGGAATGGGAACAGACATACTTGATTTGCAGTCAGACTTCAGCTTGAATCTGTCAAGGGGTTGTTAGTTACAAAGGTAAGTTAAATGAAAAACCAGAGTATATCTAGGTGGACAGCATCCCCTTAGAAAGAAAAAGGAATAAAAACAAATAATAGAAGTAGCTGTTTTTAGATGCTGAAACTAAGGTTGATTCATTCCAGGGAAGCGATTAAAAGAAATAAGAACAGGAGTGCAAGGACACCGTAAGGTTAAAATCCTGCCCTTCCCTGTGTTTAAAAATGTCTCTGATCTGTTAACGGATATTTTAAGTGAATCGGTTTGTATTTTCTAGTTCTGATTGCTGGCACAGTCTTGAGGTGCTTATGTTACAGACCGTATATCTACATTATATTCATATTAAATATCCACCCCCCGCCCTCCCACCAAGCCAAACTTCAGTGAGATTAGTTTTTAAAAAAGGAGGGGAGGGAGAAGTTTCACTTGACTACTTTAATATTAACAAACCCAGCACTTCTTGGTTTTAAACTGACAGCAGCCCCTACATTTCCTAGAAGGTGATGGAAACGCCTAGGGCGCTTGTGTTTATTGTCTGCTGCAAGAACTGTTATGCAGTTAGATAATTCCAACAGCATTTTACTGCAGTCCTTTTCCAGAAATCTGTACCTTGCAGTCTTGTAAAACCCCAGAGTTGTATCACTGCCCTACAGTTAGAATTGGTAATCGCAAAGCAGCAGCACTGCTACCTGGAGGGATTAGTGTTACAAATATTGCTAGTCATGTCTCTCCCAAGCCCATAAGCAAGATCCCGTAGTTCTTAATCATTCTCTTGTCTCCAGTTGTGAAGGTCTACATTGCTGCTGTCTCTCTGTGCCTTGCCAGTGGCACCATCCCCCTGCATTGCTGTTGGCTGCCCTGCCAAGATTTAGACTGCGCCAGGTTTATGCACTTTGTGCCCAGGTCATAAGAGTTCTCCAGCTGTTTTGTTTTCCAGAGTCCTACCGTCCTCTTTCAGTGAAGTCTAGATTGCTGTCTCAGATCATGGGAGGCAGCATAGCCTAGCTGATAGCTGTCAGACTGGCAGTCAGAAGATCCAGGTTTTCCTTCTGGTTCTTTTGGCCTTCTCTGTACTATTGGGAATGAGGCCCAGAATGAACAGCATCTTTAGAGATGGGAAAACTGAGGGTAATGAAGTTTGCCCTACTGTAAACTCCTTTTGAATTGGGTGGATTAAAAGCACCAGCCGACCCTATTAATAGGAATAAGTAATTCCTGTTAATACATGAAGTTTTGTGTGTCTGCATAAGGTATTCTGCAAGCAGTTTGGCTTTCTTTCATTTGGGTACTGAATTTTGGCCACTGCAGGATGCCATTGTGAAGAAGGGAGGGGTAGCTGTAACGGGGAACCAGTAGTTTCATTTCTGTTCGTAGCTGACTATTCAGTAATTCTGTGGATTACAGTCTACCAGCTGTTTGCTAATACTGGAGACTGTATATACTGAAGGAGACTGCTAGAAAACAGATTTTGCTTTGTAGCTGCAATCACTGCTCATCAAAAGGTAAAACAACCCGTAAGAGAGAGCAACCATCTTTTAACCCTCAAGAGAAAGTAAGAAATACAGCCTTCAGACTTTTCTCCCTGGAAAGATTTAGGAATGGGTGGGTAGGGGAGGAGGGAGAGGAAAGTAGAAAACAAATTAGTTGTCTTTCTTATTTTGCTTGCTGTCTATCTTATTTAGTTATAATATAAAGGTGCATATCTATCCTGATGTCTTCCTCTTTTGGGACCAATTTTTGTTTGTCCCTTTCACACAAGAAGGAACATTTCCCTCTTGCTCACCTGTGCAAGGGCAGGGCTAAACTCCAGAGAAGTCTGGACCAAACAGAGAGGGCATTGTCCATGTTCCCATGTACAGCAGGTAGTTTAGGCAATATTGCATCTCAATAGGTAAATATGTTCCTAAAGCTCCTGGTAAAACTCTGTAGCTGCACACACTGCCCCTTACTAAGGGTTGTGCCTTGTTAATACCACTGAACCCTTAATTTTCATACCTTTAAACTCCCAAACATATAAACAAAGATATCCCTCATAAGAAATTTTCAATAGCATGCAAGAAGCTTGAGGGCTTAATATTTTGAAAGCTACTGTTTTAACACAAGATTTTTAATTAAATGCTAACTGTTGTTTTCCAAAGAAAATCCTACTTGAGTGCCATCAAAACTGTCCAAGCTTTCAAATATATTCAAAAGTCATCGCTGGTCTTGAAGCTGACAGACTTCAGCAGATCTGAACTAGAGGAAGGAAGATGATGTCCTTGGACAACCTGGAGAATGCAGTCCGTAACCCGGTAACTCCCTATCAATTCAATAGCTTCTCCTTTAGTAGATGGATAGTGGTGTCCATCAAGAAACACTGTAGTGTCATGTCAGCAAAGCCTTTTGGTGTGTTCTTCACACAATGAGAAGATTGAGAAACCTCCAAATTTCTCATGTCTCTGAAGAAAAACCTCTGCTGCCTACAGAATAGTTCCTGAGTTACGGAGAGTCCATGAGATCAGTGTTCTCCCAGCACATTCAGAATGAGGGAAAAGCACTCTCAAATCTGCAGTATGGTATGCCTTGCTGGGTTTTGATGGTACAGGTTACTCCTCACTTAACTTTGTCCCGGTTAACGTTGTTTCGTTATTATGTCACTGGTCTATTAGAGAACGTGCTTGTTTAAAGTCGCGCTATGTTTGGTTATAATGTTGTTTGGCTGCCGCCTGCTAGTAGGTAACTACTGTGACGTAACTGGATTCGCTTAACGTTGTTTCGCTAAAGTCCGATTTTCAAGAACGTAACTACGACGTTAAGCAAGGAGTAGCTGTATTGGCTCATTTCAGTACTAATGTGAACCTTAAGCAAGTTGAGTGCTTAGCCAAGTGCTGCGTTTGGGGGTCAGAGATGTACTTTTTGGCTTGTAGAATGACGGTGTATATCTCTTGTCTATCTTACTGGGTATATTGATTAATTAGTTTTACTTGGTTGTCTTGGTTAATTGGTTAACTTACGAGGAAGCTGAAAAGAGGGCATATAATGGGAAGCTAGTGTTGGCCTTAACTTTAGAGGGCACGTTGGGGAGTCTATGTTGTAGACTAGGGTGGGTGGTAGCACCTATTAAAATTAGGAGCATCAGACACCTTTTATCAAGGCTCTGTTTTAAGTGGCTTACAATTTCACATTGAAAAAATTAGAATTTGGCTAAGTTTTTAAAAACTGAACGTTTGCTTTAGGTCCTTTCCGTTTTAACTTCAGCTTATGTAGTTCAGCCATTTCAGAGAATTCAGTAAAAGGAAGAAGTTTTGTCAAGGTGAAGTCTGGCAACCTCTTATTGGAAATGTTTTGGCACCCCCCACGTTCCAAAGCAGGGAATCAGACCTGGCAAGAAGTGGACTGTGTGTCAGGTGTATGTATTTTTGTCCTTTGAGGGGAGGAGGGGACACAGAACCTGGCCTAGTTTAAGCCTCTTGGAAGATTGCGGTTTGTAGGTAGTTTTCAGCAGCTGAAATCCCTGAAGACTTTACTTAGCATGCTGCAGTTTATAATGGAGCAAGCCTCCTGCAATGGCAGCCCTAGTCTGCCGTGCTAATACGCGCTGGGCGATACTCTAGCGTTTAGTTGCAAATTCCAGTCTTTTATGGGTGGCAGTTTTTCTTTCTCTCTCCCACTATTGTGATTTATCAGCAAATGTCTTGTGCAAAGGGTGTGGTCTCTTGCCGTCTCTTTCCTGCAGGGTCAATAACTACTTGGCCATTGGAAATGTTCCCTTGAAACTCTTACCGTCTTATAATCCGAAGGAGAAATGTTGTTGTTTTTTCCCTTTTCTCCTCTACTGAGGAAGTTTTTAAGGATTTACCTAAACTCCCTTGTGCCAAGAATGAGTTTTGCAAAGTTGAAAACTTGCAATAAAAACTGTTTTTTCAGCTTAGATGAAAACTTTTCAAGTTCATATTTTCTGTTGTGAGACCTAGAACTGCTTCAACTGCTGACTGGAGAGAACCTTGCTGTACTCATGAGTGAGACCTGGATTTTTTGCTCCATTCATTTTGTTTTTATTGTCTTTAGCTTGGATGTCCCAAAACCTTATTTTTGAATATTTTGATTTTTGCCCACCTTCTCATAGGTCATTCCATATGTTGGGAGTATCCTTAGCGGTCTTCTTCCTGGAGAACTCATTGTGATGCGTGGAAGCATTCCTGATGATGCTGACAGGTAGTGACAAAGCTATTTATTGTTCAAGAAGTCATAATATCAGCTTTGAAGGAGGGGTCTTAAACAAACCTTAAATGGCTTTTCATCACTTGTGGAACATACGGTCTTTGGAAATGTCTTCATTTTTCTACGGTAAAGGCAGGGCTTTGTGAACTTATGATCTATTATAATCAGTGGAGAGACTCATTGTTTTAAGTGGGCACAGACCTCCTAACTTGTGTGAATGACTGAAAATGGTTGAAATCTTTGGAAAGAAAGCTTTAATAGGGAAGTTCTTTCAGTCTTGAAAAATTAACCCATATCATCTTTCAAAGGGATAAAATCTCTGTGCCTTTTAATTTGAATTAAAAAATTAGAATATGGCAGGCAGAAAGACTGATTTTTGTGCCTTTTGATCATTGTAGACTAGCAGCATGGGGTGTTGCCCAGAGAGTTAATGGGAAGCTAAGGGGTAAATTGAAGTTTCTGAGTGAGATTTAAATAGAATGAGCCAATCTTTGCTCAGTCCTCTTGCTCCTTATATCTGTTTCCCATTTGATACATGTAGCTTCTTGTATCCAAGAACCTTCTAATTAATGGTAAAATTATAATATTTAATAAGTGCTACTTGAAGAAACTGGTTCTCAAATGAGAGGAGGAAGTCTGATCTGGTATAATGCTGGGAAGCAGAAGACCTGGGATTCTATCCTCTATACAACAAAGGGATGGAGGGGAAGGGTGGAGGAGCCAGAGCCCCCATGATGAGTGGAGGAAGGACAATTGTAAAGATGGTTGAAGTGTATATGAGGTGCTCAGATTCTCTGGTGATTGACCATTGTTCTGATGCTCATAAATTAATTAAAGGGGAGACTTTCAAAGACACAATTATTTTCCCCCTTTTCTTTCCTTCTGCCCTCAAAACAAATTTTGACTTTTTGTATCTTAGCATGGCAAAGCAGAGACTCCCTATGCCTGATGAAGGGTGACTGCATGCAAAAGCTTGCAAAGAACTTAAGATATCACATCTACCCAAAGATCCTTGCCTGCCTTAGACCAACATGGCTACAACCAAAAACCCAGCTGTATCTTAATACTGTATTTACTCAAATACAAGACATCCCTCAATGTAAGACGACCTCCCCAACAGGTAGATTCTACATACGGAAAAATTTATAAATTAGTTATAATTTTCCAGGTATAGAATCTAATTATTGGAGGTTTGCCTTAAATTTGTCCCACTCTCACTGTTATGGCAGGGAAAATAAAGCTGGGGGATCAGGTTAGCCTCCTTACCCTCTGCTTCCCTGCAGCTTCTTCCCCATTTCTTTCCTTACTCTTAGACCCTGCTCCGCCAGGAAAAGGGAAGTGAGGGGCAAATTTGAAAACACTGGCCTTGAAATAAGCATACCTGTAGTCATTTGCATATGGTACTCATAGACTTAATTAACTCATCCAGAATTGATGTGTTTGACCTGTTTGAAAATGCTGCAAGTTTTAGCACAGGTACACACTTTTAAGCAGTGCTTTTGTACCTGATTTTATAGCTTACAAACTATGCATAGTATTAGTCCAAAGTAAAAAAAACCTTATGATTTACCATGTAGCTCATTGGGTTGGGCCCCAGCAGAGTCAACAGCATTTCAAGCCATGAAGACCCCATAGCTCAGCACTGCCTGTATGTGTGGGTACACCAGATACTGCTCCCTCACCCCCTCTGCCCCCAAAAAGGATCCACGTGCTAATTAGCCCTTCAGCCATGACAAACTGGGTGTGCTTGTCATGAGTCCTGGTATCCTCCAAAAATGTATGTGCAGATGAGGCATGGGACAGTCTGGTCCAGCTCCACCTCTTGGAGGGCAGGAACACGTTAATCATATGTGCAAGGCTGAGAGAGGGGGTGACAGAGGGATTCTGGTTGAACTGTTTGGGGCCTCATTTGGTGATGTTTGGTAGGCATTTAAGGATCATGAAGAAACAGGAATTGTTGGAAATGGGATAGCTGTAGGAGTAAAGAGGAAGTTGAAATATATGCAGTGTAGTGGCTCACATGACTTGGAAAAAGTCAGCGTTGAGGGAAATTGCACGCAAGGGGCACTACCACATTTCTTATTCAGATGGGCTAAACTGTCCTTGTGGTAAAGGTTTCCATCAGCATAACAAATGTAGCATTTCTGGCAGTGGCTCTGGCCCTCCTGGTGCCAGCCTTGTATGTCAGTACCTTCAGCTCTGGTGCCAGTTCCCTGTGGAGGGAACACTTGCCCTTCTTCTGGTTTTTTGTTTTTTCCTTTGGTCTTTAAAAAAAAAAAAAAAAAAAAAAAAAGACTCCCATCAGCATGTTTGCCCAATATGGGCTGTGTGTTCCTAGTCATGCTCGACTGCATTTAATTAACTTCATAGTTGGTTTCTGTTACTGAGCACATGATGCTGTTGGCAGCACTTTAATGATAAGTAATGTATTTAATGAGGTATCCTTGTATGCAAATATGAGATGAGGGGCTTGATTCCCCATGCTACTTAGGAGGAAAAAACCTTGTCTTGTATTCGAGTCAGTATGGTACTCCCTGTTACATAAACATTCTAATCTTTTTACTTTCATTTCTTGTTATACCCCCACCCCGTGTATCAGGGTTTAATGCAAAACTCTCTCTTTAAACTAAGGTCAGAACTTAATTAGATGTTTGAAACTCTGAGGTCACGTTCTGGAAGAACTGAACCAATTGTGTTTTGTCTTATGACCAGGTTCCAGGTGGACCTCCAGTGTGGCAGTAGTGTAAAACCTCGTGCTGATGTGGCCTTTCACTTTAATCCCCGCTTCAAAAGATCTGGCTGTATTGTCTGTAATACATTGCAGAGGGAAAAATGGGGTTCAGAAGAGATCACTTATGAGATGCCTTTTCAAAAAGGCAAATCATTCAAGATTGTCTTTATGGTTTTGAAGGATAAATTCCAGGTGAGTTGCAAATAGATTCATCGGCAGCATGGCTGTTTTTGTGGGCATGACAGTATGTAGGAGCACTGACTATGCTTACTTATGCTGTACGTACAAAGAGAGATCATAGAATGGACTCATCGAATGGGCACTAAATAATTTTGGTCCATAATGTGGCATTACTGGCAAGTCTCCTAGTCCCTCAGCATCCATAGTCAATCTTCTCTCCTTCTCTCTCCTTTCTGACACCACAACAGGATTACTGGTGCTTCTGGTAATGACAGAAAAGGATGCTGCTCCTGTTGGGGCAGCAGCGACAGGTTGGAGCCCCAGTGGCAACAGGAGCAAAGAATCCTGCCACTGCTGCTGGTGGGACCTCACGGACAGCTGGAGCCTCAGCAGCCGCAGTGGCAGAGAAACCAGCTGCTGCTGCATTTGGGGGACTGGGGCAACAGTGGCTCTCCTAGGGATGTCCTGGTGCCATTCGGACCACATGTTGCCCTCCATGGGGGGCTGATAGGGTGATAGTGATTGGGTGTGGGAGTTGGGAGAGCAAAGGAGCAGTCCCTTATTGGCTAGAGAGCACCTGTTTGTGGTGACCTTGCTGTGCTCCAGCCAGGGGGCTCTGAATGTGGATACAGTCCCTAGTTCAGGGGTGGCCAGCCTGCAGCTCCAGAGCCACATGCGGCTCTTCAGAAGTTAATATGCATCTCCTTGAATCTTTGCACAAGCACACGGTGACCAGTTTTCATAGCTGTTACGTTGCATGATGCGACTGCTCTCAGCGAGCACATTACTCAGTTTGGACTCGGAAGTTTTGGAGTCTGGAGCTGCGGGTTGGCCACCCCTGCCCTAAAGCATTTTAATTTCTGTAGTGCTACAAAGTGCTGAGGCACTTCATCATGCTGTACATGGTCCAAGGCCTAAGTTTTATATACTTGTACCTTCAAAACTGTAAGAGTAAGCACACATACGTCTTCATACATACATATCATACATACATATATCTTCCTGCCCATACTAGCTGCTGCTTTATTCATCTCTATTTGTAAGAAAGGGTAGTCTTGCACCAAACTTCCTGCATACAGGAGTGCTGGACAGTGTTCTCCTTCTGTTTAAAGAAGATGCTAAATAGGAAAATGTGTGTTGGTCTAGCTCTGTCAGACTGAAATTAAATGTATGTAGATCTAAGTAGGTTTAAGTATCCTTCATTTGCTGACATGTGGTGTGTTGACAATCAGAATGTGGCGGGAGGCTGTGTGTGTGAGTGTATTATTTAAAAAATTAGAAAACTGTCATGATGCCTTTTCAGGTGGCTGTAAATGGAAAACACTTGCTTCTGTACAAACACAGAATCAACCTTGAGAAAATAGACACAGTTGGAATATATGGCAAAGTGCAGATTGAAATTATAGAGTTTGTTTCCAACAAGGTAAGCTGTTAAATTGCTTAGTTTATTGTTGTCTTTTACTTCAGTATAGCATTTTGTAAAGTAGAAGACATTAATAATGAAATTGAAGTCATAAAGGATAATATAAGCTCCAGTACCAGAGTGTAGCAGCATATCCTACACTCATAAAAATAAACTTCATAAAAATGAAATTTATTTTCTACTTATGGGGGTTTTTTACAATCTTGTGCCATCTACACTTTTCCCAGAGCCTGACAAAGGGACTTTGATCTCGAAAGTTTGCAGAAAAGGACAATTTTCTTGCCATTTTCCAGTTGGTCTAATAAAAAGTATCATTTTGGAACCAAGAGTTCTAGTTTTTTGTATGTCTTTTTGTCTCAAACCAGCATGGCTACCAAGTACACCCCTGCAACATCTCCTGACACTTCTACAACAATGCCCCTTCATTTTGTAGTCACATAAAAGAAAAAATATTCATGCAGGGATTTTTTTTTTTTGGTGGTTCTGAAAAAGTTGGGGAAATAGGGTTGTACAGTGCAAACCTGAGGTGTCTTTAGGCTTGTTGTTCACATGTGGATTGATATCAGTGTTTGAATCCTTTTGTGTTGGAGCATACAAAACTTATGGGAGAGATGCAAACAGCTTTCATGATGTAGACTATGGCAAATGTAACTTATCCCTTGAGGACAGAATGGAACCTTTCTCTACTGTTTGTATCATTTTGAAGTTCATGGAAGATCATTCCCAGAACACACTACTTTCAAACGTGTGCAAAGGGTATAGCTACATGGGACAATGCAAGCATTTGCAATGATTCGGCTCCTGAAATTACTGAATGCAACAATGCATTATGCAGGGTGGACATGCTCCAAGGCAGCCTTTGAGTTCCCTTTGTGCCAAGCTTTTTTCTACATGACCCTAACCAGGTGGTGAAAATCAGCTTTCTGGGTGCTTTGAACAGCCATTTGGTTTGGCTGTGATGTTCAGAGGCTAGATGCACAGTTTGCGTTTCCGTCAGCAGCTAGATCTCCTGAAGAAAGTGAGCTAGCGTGAGGGAACTGCTCCTCTCTTTCCTGTACAGAGATAAGATCTTCTCATCTCATAGAGGAGACAGGAAAAATCCACAGACTCTCCAGGTACAAGGGGGGCAGTGGCAGCCTTCTCTTCATTCCCCTTACCATAAGCGCAGCTCAAAGTGGCGAGCTTCTCTTCTGGAGTAAGTCAAATGAGCCCGCTCTGAAGCAGCTTGCCAGATCCCCTGCAGCATCCTCCCTCTCCCCTTTCTGCCTCAGCCTGAGGGAATCAAGCTTGCCACAGTGGACAGTGGCAAGGAAACTAACCTTTACTCCTTTGCAGACAGTGGCAATCAGTGCAACACCACCAGGGAGGAGGAACAACCAGAGGGATTGCTATTGTGCATATAATTAGTCTCTTTCTTTCTCGCTTGGCATGCCCCTCTGTCTGTCTGTCCAGTAAAATTCTTGGAATACCTAGCTGGTTTTCATGTGAGAACTTCCTGGCTTTATGCCTAATAACCAAAACCTAAATATTCCTTGTTTTCTGCCAAATCAGGTCTATAATGTCATGAGGATTGTTGAAGGGTGGTAGACATAGGCCTGGACGCAGTAGAGACTGAATTCTAAAGAGGTGTCCACCAAACTCTTATTTGTACAGCATATTTGTAGATATACATCCTAGTATTCATATGGCTCTGACACCATATGTCAGGACTGTAAGTTGACTTGAAGCAGAATAGGTTTCAGGTTTGGGAAACCGATGCTGCAAGTAGGCTTCAGTGATTAACATGTTACTGTTCCTTAAGGCAAAAATGCATAAGGACGTGGGTTAATCATGGAGGGAAAGGATTGTGTAAATACAATTTTTCTGCTCTAGTATCAGTTTTAGTCTCTGTTTTAATGCTAGCTGCTAATTGATTTCACTTTCTGTGCTACCCATTTCCCTTCAGTTCTGTTTTGAGGAGGAAGGAACAGGGTTGTACTTTGTGGAAGACACGACCTGCCATGACCCAGAGGGTGCTAGAAGTGGCAAGGCCAATGTGACCAAACCTTGATTCAGTGTTCAGGTTACATACCATGCAAATTACTTAGTGCCATGGTTATTAACCTTTTTTTGACTCGAGGCACCTGTTGGAAAATGTCAGCTCTTAGGTTTCACTTGTTTTTTTGACTAAGGAAAAATAATTGAGCAGTTCTATTGCAAAGTGCTCAGGAAGACCAAAACAGGTCAAATTTTTTGACATTGGATTCCTATTTGAAATCTCTGGATTTATCTTGTGAATCATATGATGGCATTGGAACACCTAACAGTGCTAATCTTGCATGGCACCCTGTTCACCCCTAAAAGGATCTCAGGCACCCCAGGATGCTGCAGCACTGTGGTTGAGAATCACTGATCTACTGCAAAAGGCTTGTTAGGATCATGTCTCCCTGGGCCTTGTATCGTTGTCATCATTGCTCCATAAAAGATGCCTTCCAAGTCCCATCAATAGTGCAGTGAAGATCTGCATGAAAAGCTGCTGAAAAGCAATGCAGAAAGACCAGTCCATGTCTGTCAAGTAGGGGTCTAAACTAGAGTGGAAGTGTATTAGATAGCACAATAGGGGTTCGATTAGCTGGCCGCCTGATGGGTTTTTTATGAGGTTTTGATGTCAGGATTTAGAACTCCAATCCTTTGTATACAGAGCCTAATACATTTCTGGCAAACTCACTTTAGAGTGAAAGTACTAATATGTGAACAGTGATTTATAAATATCTTTTTTCTGCAGTCTTTACAAGGCTCTCAGCCATCGTCTCTAGGAATAACAAAGATAAACACAGAAAATGTACGTATGGTTATCTTGTGGTTCTGTGCTCTCCACCTTCTTTGATTGTTTTAAGTTAATTTCGTTGTTTTTGGGTTTTTTGTAGGGGGCAGTGCCAGATGGCTCACAATTTGTAAGTATCTCTATGTACAGAGCAAACACAAAAAGTCAGAATGAAAACACCTGGATCATTAAAAAAAAGATGAGATGACATCTCCTGGATCATGGCTCATCTTTGCTCATAAATATTCAGCTTTCATTTCCCTGTTTAAGTAGGTGTATTCCTTACAGAGCACTTAATGGAAGGGAAACTTGGATTCTAGGTCATTTGCAGAACACACTGAATTGTCAGTGTGTTTGTATTTCATGTCCAACTAACATTATGTACTTCAGCTGATTAAAATACTTTAGCAGTATAAAATTTAATCTGTTGAACATGAATTGGACCCTGTAATCTGAAATACAGAATACTGCTTCGGTACAAAATGGGCAGATTTGCTGAGAGGACCATAATCTTGATTCTTTAATGGCGTCTGTCAAACTGTAGAAACTTTTTGCATTTAAGTCTATATCCTAGTCCTAGAAATTTCCTGTAAAAGTGCAGAGAATGAACCAGGCCAGTTTTTAGGGGGAAGAGGAAAGAAGCCATAATTTGCAGCAAACTTTCTAGAGAGTTTGTAGCTAACTCTTCACTATAGTCTAATTCTTCTTCACCTTGGGTATTCTTGGTGCTCTGGTTTCAGTGTGTAACAATTTCTTGGCATCTAGTCAGTTAATAAAATCTCATCTATTCATTCCTTCCCCTCCAAAACAAGACATTGCAGATTCTTTTTCATTTGACTAATGCATACCAAAGACTGGTGGTTCTTTCTGTGCCTGGTGACAGTTGCTTCTACAGAAAGCCAAAACCTCTTATAACTCCATTTTGAAAACGGATGCACCCAACTAATATTATCTATCCTTACTGGATAAATACCCTATTTTATACTGGTGCCAGGAGGAAAGAGAACTTAAGTTATTCTATATATTTTTATGCAATTGTTTTTAACAAATGTGGGATAAGACACTTGGATAATATTTATTCTGAAGTATGACTGAAACCTGAAGCTCTTTTGTTTCAGGGAATGGATGGTCATATACATGTAGGTTTATGCACATGTATCTGAATAACCATGCTTGGTGAGCACCTAAGTCAGCCCAAAGAATTTGGTGTCTGCAATGTCCTATGTTGGTCTCTCGTAAATGGGTCAAATAGTACATTGCAAACAGTGAGCCAAGCTGAATCCAGCTTTGCATGAGAAGTTTGGAGTTACCAGAGTGAAAGGATCTAAACAAGATTAAGGAACAAATTCCCCAATTCCACTTTCCCCAGGCCCCAAATAGATTTTTTTTTAAAAACTTGCTCCCCATATGTTCACTGCCAGAACAGCTTTGTGGATTTTGAGTCAAATTATTCAGCTATAAACAGGACACTGGAATGAGCATGCCTAAGCTATAAATATAGCATCCTAATGGTTACTGATAAAATATAATCTATTAAATGTGGCTAAATTCAAAAGACTTCTTTAGATGTATTCTTCGATTTCCAGCAGCAACAGCAAAATCAGCACAAGTGCCAACAGTGTATACTTAATTGTAATGCATTAGTTAAAACCACAGTTCATAATCCCCAGCGGTTGTCTTTTCAGGCAGTTCCTTACCTTGCAAGGCTTAATTCTGCACTTGGTCCTGGACGCACAGTTACCATCAAAGGAGAAGTGAATAAAAACCCAAACAGGTTAGTAAATGCCATCACTTATAAAAAGGCAGATTACACAGTTACTTATAACTGTGTTGTTTCACTGCTTTTATTGTTGTCCAAGCTGCTCTTTCATAGTTTGATTCTTCCTTATCTATTGTACTTTTAAAAGAGACACATCTTCAGTCCTAGTCAAGGAGTGCTATAAGGAATGCTACTTCTGAGTCAGCTTCATAGTACAGTTTTACTCTGAAAAGTGACTATAAAATCTATCAGGCTAACTGTATGCATTATCTGTATACTTCATTATTTGTAATAAAGAGCATCTTGGAGCCCTGGCCATGGACCTGAGACTCCATGGTGCTAGGTAGCACATGGCACAGACTGTCCTTACCCCACATTGTGAACAGCCCAAGTAGATGATGAGACACAAGGGGCACGTCTGTGTGTGCACAACTGTGCAGCAACAGATGGTACTGTGCAGTCCTGGCATTGCACGAGTCCTTTTCAACCCTACTGTGTAGTAGCAATGAGCATCACAGCTCATGTCAGCTGATGCTATGTTGCTGTAGTGATGAACTACATTGCCATAGCTCATCACTGTGGTGACGTAGCATCTCATGTAGATGTGCCCAGTATGAAGCAAAAGTAATCAATGAGGTGGACAGTATGGTTAGCAGGAAAAGGAGTTACACCTGTGGCACTATCAGTAAGGACTTTTTATAAGTATTGCAGCAAAGTGGAATTTTAAGGTAGGATTTGGAGGAGGAGGGAGGAGGCAGCTTTGCAGATGTTTATAGAGAGCTCCTCCCCAGCATGAGGAGCAGTGTAAGAAAAAGCTTGAAGGTGTGTGTTTAAAAAGTTATAACAAGTGGGTGATGAAGGATGGCAACCTGGTTTGATCAGAGGTGGGAGTAAGCAACTTGACAGCAAATGAGAGGTGATGATGGGTCGTAGAGAGCCTTGAACATGAAGGCAAGCAGTTTGATGCTAAAGAAAGGGGAGCAAGTGTAGGGATGCCACGAGTGGATGACATGGTCCAAGTTATGAGCTAGGAAAACTCTTCGCCACTGCATTCTCTGTAAGGTATGTGTTTGGCACAGCAGAAACAGCTCTGTTATGAAAAGTGCAATTTTCATTCAGACCCACTCTTAATGTGTGTACCATGCTTCCTGCCAGAACATTCATCACAACAACCTAGCAAAATAACATTTCAAGAACGCCAACCAGAAAACATAGCAGTGTTTCAAATCCCTGATGATTACCAACACTAAAACATTTTACTCTTATCTAATATCAAGTCCACATAAAACACTAACTCGATAGAGGCATGAATAGACAAGTAGCATCATTTTTCTTTTGATCATGAAACGTTAATCAGCCTAGCTAGAGCTATTTCACCAGTTCTCTATCTGCACTAGTTAGGCGGGGTGGAGATTAGCAGAGCATTTTAAATTGCTTGTCTTTGGAATATTTTCAAACTTCAATTTTCTGGGGACTTGGAGCATACTTGAGGTTCTTTAGAAAATTGTGTGAACTTTTGCCCTTAATCAGAACATTGGTCTTCTCCCAATACCTCAAATAGAGTGGAAGCCATAGGTTGCCCTTAGTCAGGATCGTCATTTGCATACAATCTTTGTATGCAGGCAGTCCTCGGACTTATGACACAATTGGTTCCTGAAAACCGTGTCTCTAGTCAAAATGTTGTAACTCGGAACCAATTTTCCCATAAGAAACTGTTATAAATGGGGGATTGGTTCCTGAACCAATGCCCAGTACCCTATTTTCACTAAAAATACCCCAGAATATTGTACTCGATCAATTATAGATGAATAATGTAGCTACATTATTGTATTTATAGTCTAAATAGCAATCATATTGATTTGGAAGGGCTTCTTTGAGGTGACTTTGCTGGACTTTTTGAAAGGCTCTTGGCTGCAGGTTTTCCTGGAATCTTGTCTGCTTTTTTAAAGAAAGTGTCCAAGGAAATTTGGACAGATGTTGTCCAGGGAGATGAGCGATGCAGCAAACTTGTTCGCTGGCGTGGCATCACATCAGATCAAGCGTTGTAAAGTTGAAACTGACGTCAAAGTTGAAACAGGGGGTCAATTTATAAATGTTGTAAGTGCAAAACATTGTAATTCGAGGACTGCCTATGTAGTAAGACAGTAGCCTCTTTCCTTCCTTTGTTTTTCAGTGGAGCTAACCCAAGATGTTTAAAATGAAGGTAGGCAGATGGCAGGGTAAATTTGCACCTTACAGGCTAACTAAATTAGAGATGCATACACTTTTGTCCAAAGCTATCCTGCCCTTTTCCGGATTTCAGACTAACATGGCTAAATACCTCTCTCTGCTCATGTAAAGTGAAGATAGCCAGGCATTGGTCTGTAGGACTTAAACCAAAACAACCCTTTCCCCTCCATAACATTTTAGAGGGGGGAAGGGTAGTGCAACTAGCTAGATGTTCTGCATTTCCTTTATTCTAACCCCCTGCCTCAGTAAGAGGGAGAATTCCTAGAAATGTAATGCTGAAAAGGAACTCACAAAATCATGACTATGGTCCAACCCACACATGAGGGAGGGTCAGGTATAGTTAAACCACCCTGCATGGGGGTTTTCTCTGAACTGTTCTTGAGATTCTCCAACCTCTGTGAGGCATTCAGGGTTTTGGTTTATTTTGTGTATTTTTTTTGCTTCTGTTAACTCCCTTTTATAGTTTTTATTGTTTGGGTTTGAGTTGGGTGGTTTGTTCTCCTGAAAGCCAAATTAAGCTCTCCGGTATTCTGACATTCATCCTGTTCCTGTCCTGGTGTCTGCATCACTAGCATCTAGGCCAGCCTGCCTCGCTTATCCTACTCTTGCATGTTTCTCCTTTTCTTTAATTCCTTTTACCAGTGCTCTCTTGACCATTCACTCCCTGATCCTGCTTACCTTGACTGGTGCCAGTCCACATAATCTTCAGTATGGTGTAGTCCGTGTATAGGCATGCAAGAAAAGGGCATAATTACATTACCTGCATAACAAAATGCCAGTCTAGATTTGTTGCCTATTTCTGTATACCATATTTTCTCGCATATAACAACACAACCCCTATTTTTGGGAGGCTCCAGGAAGGAAAATAAACCCACAACTTACCTTGGAGTACAGGCAAGTAACTGAGGGCTGGGGGCCATGCACTGGCTGCATGGCAGGGCCTGATCTGGTGTGCTGGGGCTGTGTGGCAGGGCCAGATCTGGTGCACCAACGCAGGGGCTAGGCAGTGAGTCCTGGGCCTCACGTTGGCTCTGGAACCAGATACCATGTCCAAGCTGGCATGTGGCTCCAGAAAAACCAGCATATGGAGTTAGACCCAACATGTTGGGTCCTGGGCTTTGTGCAAGCTCACACCCATCACTTTGGCTACGGACCAATCCTGCATGAGGCCCTAATCCAGCGTGTGTTTGGGGTGGAGGGGGGCTTCCTGTAAGTCCTGAAATTTGGTAGTGGGGGCAAAGAGGGACTGGTGGCAACATTAATGGCTATGACTCCCAGAGCCACAATTAATGCTGCCACAGCTCCACACCCCCTCTTGCCCAGCTCTTCATATTTCTGGACCCACAGGGAGCCCTTTCACTAGCATATAATGTACACTCAATTTTTTTCCCCAGCTGGTTTTGGGGTGGTGGTGGGGAATTTGTGGTTATACGTGACACAATACGATACCTTAATGCATAAACTGCTTATGTGGAGAGCATATTTCAGCCTCATTGTCTACTTTGTAACTAGTTGTATTCTGGTTAACTTCATACCCATCATAGCTTTCTGTCTGGAACTAATACCCTGTAACTGCACCCAGAAAGAGTGAAAAGTAACCAACTGTTAAAGAGCTGCTATTCAAAAACCTTCAAAATGAGGGAGCTAATACTAGGACTGACAGTGCTGGACACGTAGGGAGCACTGACTGATTGGGTAAATGCATAGCTTTTTTCTGCTGTAAGGCTATGCATTTTAGCAAAGTATACAGTATTTGCTATCTTTTAAGCTCCCAGCCTATGGCTGGAGTGTTTATACCTGTTCTTCCTGTGGTGACTCTCCTCTCCTACCTGATACACTTCATTAGAAGATAGGCAAATATTTTCCATGTTTTAGCTATTGGTTATCTTATAAGCATGTGCTGTATTTGCCGTAGGGATGATCCTGACTAGAGATGTAATCTGTGCCGACTCGGACAGGGGGAATTGTATCCTGGAAATAAGGTTCGAGTTTCTCCTGGGTGACTTCTCTTCCTTCGTGCATTCCCCAGTGCCAGGTTTAAAAATTCACCTTTTTAGACCAGTGTCTCCTTCATGCATCGCTACTTGGCTTGCACTGGCCCTTCACAGAACTCAAGAACCATTTGGAGAAAGCCATGCTTGCAATTTAAACCTACCTTCCAAAACACATCTTTTCCTTTTATCCTGTTATCAGGGTGTAGCGAAATATAGGTCTTATGCTTTAGGCATGTGCCTAGGGAGCTGACCCTTACATCTGGCAGACACATTGCCAAACAATCATTTCGCCACATACCCAGCTAATCGTTGTGTCTGCTGATTTGAATGCCAGGTTGTGGAAAGCTACATCCATGACAGTCTTTCTAAACATAGTGGAAGTTGCATGCCTGCAAAACTGATTCTTTTAAGTCACCTTACTCTTAAGCCACAATGATCCCAATACTCATGTGCATACTTAGTTGTGGCATTGACTTTGATGGAATTAAGCTTAGTGTCTGTTGTAAGCATGTGGACTGGTCTTTGCAGAATCAGGTTCTAGTTTATAAATCCTTCTTGCATTTTTCTATCAGTCCTTGGTAAGAGCCAAACACCTGGGAAACTATGACTGGTAAAGCATTTGTGCAATAACATGCAAGTCACTTACAACAAGACAAAGATGCCTAACTGCATCTTGCTCAGACTTCTCAAGAATTTTCACTTTTGGATCCTTCGATCAAAAAGAATAGTTGAGGAAGTTAGAAGGTGAAAATAAAGGGCTATTAAGTAATGTGTGATACCAAACAAATGTGGCAAGGTCATTCTTTCCATCTTTTAACCACTCATTGCTGCCTCCAGAATGATTATCAGACACTAGTACAGCACATTTACTTGAAAATGCAGTAGTCAATCAACATGACAAATTAGTTGGTGTGACTAAACTTTTAAAATATTTTGCAGCTTTACTATTAATCTAAAATCAAGCGACTCTAAGGATATTGCCCTGCACCTGAATCCCCGCATAAAAAACAAAGTTTTCGTGAGAAATTCTTACCTTCATGATAGCTGGGGAGAAGAAGAAAAGGAGGTGGCTCATTTCCCCTTCAGTCCAGGAATGTATTTTGAGGTAAGGCTACTTTTGAGGGAGTAGAAAAAAACCAAACGCGCCTGTCATAACTAACAAAAAGAGTTGGCTAGTAGCCTTTTAACCTCGGGTAGCTAGCATCAGAGCAGGTGATTTTTCTTTTATAAGTCAAAGGAAAAAGAAGACTTAAAGTAGTAGCTGCTTGTTCAAAATAAATCCAAATGATGTAATTTACTGCTGTGATCAAACACTTTATTAATCCTCTTACCTGTGTGCAGAAGAGAAGAGGGAAAGGTTAAAATTTTTCTGACAGTTGCAAACAAATCTGTCCGTTGTCTCATGCAATCCAGTTTGCTGACAGCTGCCCCCTGCATTTTTTTTAAATTGAAACTAAGTCCTTTTGAAGTCCTGGTTTTAAAATGTTCCTTTCATGAAACCTAGTATTTCATAGAGCAAAAGGCAGGCTTATCTGATTTCAAATTAGATTCCTGTAAGTTTCACTCCAAACCTGACTGTTCTTGTTCTTGCTTTCAGCTCATCATTTTGTGTGACGCTCACGAGTTCAAGGTTGCTATCAATGGGGTACACGTATTAGAGTACAAGCATCGATTTAAACAGCTGGGCATGATCAACCTATTGGAGATCACTGGAGACATTGAGTTACTGGATGTGAGGAGCTGGTAGTTTTCTGTTAGGTTGAAGAATCCTTATAATGCTATTTTAACAAAGATTTTTTTTTCTTTTTAGTCCAGATGTGGTGCTGAGTTTTCCAGGCTGTCTTCTTTTTTTCCAGGGTTTTGTAATAATGCCTATCATAATGGCTGAGCCCTATTAAATTAGATCTTCCCTAGTCTTCAGTATACTGACAAATTAAACTGATGTTATCTGCTTCAGTAGGCATAATGCTTCTGCTGTACGAAGAATTCAACTACCAAACCCTAGCAATATAAAAAAGTTGCCTTATAGCATATGTAAGAAATACAGCTTACATAGCAAGAGTCTAGAGTAAAGAGCATTCCTTAATAGAATATTCTCAACTTCATAATCAGTATTATCTTGATTACAGCTAGACTGAAATATGATTCATGAATCTGAAAATGGAGTGTCAGCTTCTTCAGGGATCAAGTCATAAGGGAATTGTACAAGAAGGGAGTATGCTGCTCTCAGCA